CAGGTTGTGTGTCCTCCAGGTTGTGTGTGGTCCAGGTTGTGTAACTGCGGTGAATGGGGTCAGTGTGTTTCAGCGTCCTGCTGCTGTCTGGGTCAGTGGGACGCTGTGTGGTCCAGGTTGTGTAACTGCGGTGAATGGGGTCAGTGTGTTTCAGCGTCCTGCTGCTGTCTGGGTCAGTGGGACGCTCGGTTCTGGTTCTGTAACTCTGGACTCGGCTGCTCTTCGTCTGATCGAAGCTCCAGAACACAAACCGGTTCATGTGACGGGTTTCAGCCGATCAGAGTTTAATGAGAGTGACGCGTTAACGAGACGAAGCAGCAGAACCAGAACATTTATCGGACTTAAGTCAGTTTATTGAAGATGTGGAGATAAAGACCGTCAAAGCTCCAGAGGTTCTGATTCAAGAACGGTTCCATCAGATTAAATCAAACTGAATCAGATGTTTGTTGTTTCTCGTAAACAGGAACCACAAACTGGACTTCAGCTGTTCACTGAAACTGAGACGTTCGTTGTGTGTCTTTGTGTTTGTCCATTCAGAACCAGAGTTCTGTCCTGGTGTGTCTCTGTTGTCATGTTGTGGTATTTTTTCTCCGTTCTGTTTTATTCTTTTGACTCTCTGTCATCTCGTTCTGTCTTTGTGTTCTAATTATTTGTTTCCGTGTCTCGTTGAAGCATTTCCTGTCTGTGTTTGTGGTCTCTGGTCAGTTTGTCGCTCTCTGAGCTCGTTTTTTTGCCACTTTGTGGTTATTTTTTAAATCTTTGTGGTCAGTTTTGGTCTTTTTGTCATTTTGTTTTGTTTTTTGCTCTCATGTTTTTTTCTGGTCGCGTCTCTTTGTCGTCTTTTTTGTCTTTGTCGTCTTTTTTCCCCTTATTTTGTCCTGTTGTGATCATGTGGACTGATGTACTGGCCCGGTACCTGCAGCCTGGATCTTGAACCCTGAATCCGGTCTGTCAGGCTGCTGCCGACCCGTCTTGTCTGTCTCGGTGGTTCCACGTGTCGCTGACTCGTCTTTGTCTCTCTGCAGCTCTGGAGACGTTAAAGTCGGTCCGTCCTCTCAGAGCGCCGCTTCTCGCCACAAGAAGAGTCCGTGGACGGCGGCCACGCTGGCTCAGGAGGCCAAGGACCTGACCCGCACGGTTCGGGCGGTTCTGGAGTTCGACTGTAAGTGACTGCGAGCTCCCAGCATGCACCTGTGCATGACGTCTGTCTGTCCGCCTGCATGAACCCGCCGGACGCTGTGACGCCTCTCCTCCCCATGTTTCAGTGCTGACCTTCTAGAGGACGCCGCCGCCGCCGCCGGACGCCTCCTCGCCCCGACCGACCCGGCGCCGGACTCGTGTCTCAACCTGCATGAAGCTTTTTGTTTCTGTGAAGCAGCTTCCTTCTGTCCCACCTCCAGCCCAAGAGCACAGCTGCAGCTTCATGTTTCTGCAGCTTCACACTTTGGAAAATAAAAACGTGTGAGGAGGCGACGGACGACGCCAGCGCCTCCACGTTCGGTCCATCGCTTTCATTACGACCCGTCGGATCAAAGCTTCACGCTGAAGGAAGCGTTCAGGTTCAGCCGTAAAGTTCTGCAACCTGCACTCAGAACGCTCCACTGGATCAAAGGTTCTGACTTGATTTTATTCAAAGTCCAACTTTTTAAAACATTTTTTTTTCTCAAAGCTGAACTTCCTTCAGAAACTTCAACATAAAACAAATCCTGCTTTCAAAATAAAACAAACTTCTTTCATTGATCCAACCTTCAAAAAACCAAACGTACAACTTTGTCAGAAGTTTTGCTTTTTCAAAAATATTCTGAATTTTTTTCCCCAAAACAAAAAAGTTCAACATTTAATTTTTTTTAATTGTTTTACGAAATTTTTTTTTTACATTTTTTTAAAATTCCATATTTTCTTTTTCAAAGCACATTTTTAAAAACATATTTTGACTTTTTTTCTCCTTCAAGGTAAACTTTTTGAAATAAATAAATTGTCTTTTCTTTCTCAAATTTAGTTTTTGAAAAAAATGCGTTTTAGTTCTTAAAGTTCAGCTTTTTCTCCCCCAAATAATTATTTTTCAGAGAGCAGCTTTAATTTTATTTTCTCAAAGGTCCGTTTTTTTTTTTTCAAACTTTTCTGTCTAAATTTTAAGTTTTCTTCTTTTTAATTGATTTTATTCTGCCCCGTTTTTTTAGTTTGCCCTGAAGTGGCCACAAGAAATCTTAATTTAGATAATAATAATAATAATAATAATAATAATAATAATAATAATAATAATAATAATAACAATCGTTTTACATGTAAAGCAGCAGAATAAAACAAACGAGTGGAAACTAAAGTCTGTTGAGGTTTGATGAGATCGATGGACCGAACCAGAACTTTGCTGTTGTTCTTCCACTGAACCCGACTCTGTTCCAGTAAACACGTCTAACTGAAGCACTGTAACTCGTATCATGGAGATCCGTAGCTGTGTGTCTGTCTCGGTGTTAGTTGTGTGTTCGACCGACCGTAGATTAGCAGCATCTTCACCAAACACGACCGGAGACGAAACCTGTTGGCGTTCAGGACGGCGAGTCAAACGGACGCTTGTGTTTCCTGTCTGTCCTGTTTCAGAGTAAAAGTTCTGGAACAAACCGCAGCTTCTGAGTCGTTCTTTGTGAGGACGCGGCTGCAGGTCTGTAAAATGAATCACTGGCACGATGACATAATAAAGTTTCTGCTGCAGCTTCGGGTCTGAGCGAATGAAATCAACACCTGCAAATCAACCACCGAGAGCCTCAAAATCACAGCAAAAGACTCGAAAGGACTTTAGAAACATGCAGAGGAACTCCAGCTGACCAAAACCAAACTCACAACAAACATAAAAACCGTCAAGAAGGATCGAGATGACGCACAAAGGTGGCAAACAACCACAACAAGAGTTAAAATGACAAAAACTAACCTTAAAATTACCACAAAGACTTCAGACAACCACAAAAACTATTTAAAAAAGTAAAAAGAAAAACAGAAAAATGTGAAAAACAGCTAAAGTCTGACTCAGAACGAGTCATAAGGACAAAAACACGTAGATACATCACAAGAAACAGCCAAAATCTGACATAAAATGATTAAGCAAACGCTCAAAATGACCACAAAGACTCAGGACAATCACAAGAACAAGTAAATTTACCACAAAAAGTCTAAAGATGAACCTGTAAATATGAAAATAAACATAATGACAGTTAAAATGGCCAAAAACTGATTAAAAATGCCGACGGAAACTTAAAAAACAAATAAAATGGGCCTCAGCATGAACAGAAAACAGTAAAACTGACCCTAAAACACGTAAATCAACCATGAAAACACTCCAAATTGCCAGAAAAACCTGGAAAGCAACAGCAGAAAGACACAAACTGACCAAAAACAGATTTAAAAGTACAAGAGAAACTCTCAGCAGCAGCAGACAGTCACAGAATCAACAGAATGAGATTTAAAGTGATCTGAAAACGTGCAAAACAACCAAAACCAGACTAAAAACATTCAAAACGACTACGACGACAAACCCAGAAACATGGACACGACCACAGAGAGACTCAGAACCGGACAGAACACCACAGAACTCCAACTGGTCATAAACACACAGGAAGCTGTAGTTTGTAGTTTCCTCTGAGTCTCAGATGTCCGAGTGTCCCTGAACACAGCAGCAGGTGGAGTTCAGTCAGTTTGGAGTCTCTGCAGGATCAGAACGTCTCAGACTGAAGGTAAGAACCGGAAGCTGCGATCCAGCAAATACACCGAGCCCCCGGGTAGCACCGGGGGAGCAGGAGGGTTTCCAGGAAATACCCTCGACCAGGCGATGGTTTATCAGATCTGTTGGCGTTTCCAGCACATACATGGAGCCATTGCTCATCAAGGTGGTGTCTGACAATGTGAAGTTTCCAGCAAATACACGGTACCGTTGGCTCGTTCAGACACCTGGAGTTCAAACGAATGTCAAGAGTTTAGAGGAACGCTGCAGCAGCGTTTCCAGTAAATACTCAAGCAGGTGAGGGTGTGATCCCAGCAAATAGACAGTGACGGATTTAAAGGCCTCAGTGGGGAGCAAGGATGGCGTGTCTCCAGCAAATAGACAGATCCACGGCCCAGTTCATGGTTTTAGTTGGTTTCAGTCAGTAGATGGAAACTGAAACTGATGAAAAAAAGATGAATTCAGACGACTTTCTGAGGAGCTTCTGCAGCTCAGATCAGCCTGAAGCTCCTCAATCATTTAAACTGTTACAACTAAAAAAAGGAATTCAACTGAGAAGACAATCTGCACCCAGATGTTCATCATGTAGAAAGATGTTCCTCCATCAGATGAATGTATCTCCACCAACTGGCTCCTCTGGTCTCTGGTTCTGATCCGTGCTGCATCTATTCATTGATCCAGTAGGATGGATTCTCCTTCAGTCTCTCTGAGGAAACTCTGGCTGCAGTTCACCTGAAACTCTCTGAATGTTTCCTGTTGGTCTCAGTTGAGTCAGTGGTGGAGGATCAGAACCAGGAGGAGGAAGGTTCTGGTTCTACAGGATCAGAACCAGGAGGAGGAAGGTTCTGATTTTACAGGATCAGAACCAGGAGGAGGAAGGTTCTGGTTCTACAGGATCAGAACCAGGAGGAGGGAGGTTCTGGTTCTACAGGATCAGAACCAGGAGGAGGAATGTTTAGTTTGGTTCTGGAGAAATTTCTCTATATCGGAGTGACTTTGATGAAACACTTTATGACGGGTTTAAGCTCAGGTTTGGTTCGTTTCCAGACGTCAGAGCGACACGTTCCTGAAACGTTGATTCTTTGTGTTTTTACCGTTTCTGGCTCATTTGGGGATTTTTTTGAGAACATAAGCGAACTCTGAAACCCAGCAGCAGGTTTTGGGTTCAGTCTTCTTTGTGTTTTCAAGCAGAATTGTACCTACGAGTATGAACAGTAAGACTGAGAATGACCAACGACTGGATCAGGACTACCGAGACCTGAACAGAATCTAGAACACATGAGTCTACTTCATCAGGACGATGAAACCGACTGAACACCTGATGAGATCACAGCAGAACCTGTTCCCCTTTATGTTCAGATGAGGTGAAGTGATTGGTGCTGATTCTGGGATCAGACCCACCGAGCTGTCTGGGCTCCGTCTATTTGCTGGAGATGCTCTGTTTCTTCCCGAGCAGCCTCCGAGGACGTCGAGCGATGACGTCCTTCTGTTTCGGTTAATTCGAGACGTGGGTCTGTGACACACTCACCCAATTTCCTCCATCAGAGGACGTGGGTGAGGTTACATAAGCGGCCGCCGTGATGCATCGCGGCGGCCTGCAGACCAGAAACTAGGTCACTCCGATCCGGCTCTCACCTGATGCTTCGTCCTGGTTGCCGTGGAAACACGTCGAGCTGTTAAACCCCGACGCCGTGTTTCCATGACTCCACGCTGACTTGGATTTATTCTCTGTAAACCTGAAACCAGGTCTGAGCCGTCGGCAGCATCCTTCCATCCATTCATTGTTTCCAAGTGGCTCGGACACGGTTGCCATGGCGACCCCGTCTCCTCCGACTCCGCCGTCCTCCGTGAACCCGACAGCAGCACGGAGAGCCAGCATGAACGCAGCTTCAGACGGCCGAGAAACATCAGAAAACCTGCAGATTTGTGACCTTTAAAGCAGAAATGAAGCTTTTACAGCGTCTTTAATGAACACGTCCTGCTCTGTGTCAGCAGCCAAAAGAAGACACGAAACGACCGAAATCCTTCTGAAAACTACGAGAAAAACACTGAAAAGACTCAAAGAGAACACAAAAACATATAAATATACTTTAGCTGCACTGAAAATGACCAAAACAGCTAAAATTAAAGCGCTTCAGGTGAGCACACTGAAACGAAAACCTCAAAAACACCTATATCTACACAATAAGACTCAAAATGACCCAAACAAACTCAAAACGACTCAAAGGATGAAATAAACAACTTAAAATGACCAAGAAAACAGGAAAACCACCACAAAAATACAAAAGTAACCCAGGAAACGATCACAGCGAGGCTCATTCTGACCTGAAACCACCACAGCAGGAGAAACTGAAACGTTGTCGTTTTACAGGAACTTTATGAACATTTAACGTCCTTCTCTGGAACAACAGAACAGTTTGAGCTAAACTAAGACACAACATCAAGGTCAAATCCTTCTTTAAATTTACAAGAAAAACACTGACATGACTCAAAGAGAACCTAAACACATAGAAACCTACTTTAATAAGATTTAAAATGACCAGAGACGTGAAAAATGATCAAAGACTTAAGAACACAATCCCCAAATCCCAAACACATTTATATCAACACGATAAGATGCAAGCGAACAACAGAGAGACACAAAACAACCCAAATCAGACATACGATGCAGACAAAGACACGGACACCGGCCACAATAGTCCTCAGAATGAACAGAAGCTAAATTCAAAATAAGCAGAAACACTCTGCGTTTACAGCGAGTCTTGAACAGAGGCTAGCCAAGTCTGCAGCGCTACGACCAAGTCCGTCCATCCATCCATCATCTCTACACCGTAGTCCTCACCGGGGTCATGGGGGGCTGGAGTCTGCAGCCCTGCAACCAAAACCAGAACACCTGAATTAAAGTTTGAGTTTAAACTGAACAAATGACCACAATAAGATTTAAAGACCAACAACAAACAAAGACCGCAGAGACTCAAGAAGGCGACGACAGAATATCAATGAGACTCATTACGACCAACGAAACAGGAAAACGACTCAGAACACCTAGAAATCGATCACAATGAGGCTCAAAACTTGTTCAATGCTGTGGTTTCCAGGAACTTTACTGAACATGAATCTGACTTCAGATCGTTCAGCGATGACTGATCAAAACAACAACATGATGATTCTTGTCCTGCGTTCTGTCGACCCCTCCATCCACCCGACCTCCTCCCCACAGCGCTGCGTTGTTCTGCCGTCAAGGAAACGCTCACAAAGAGGCGGCGCCCTCCAGTGGCCGCAGGATGCAACTACAAACTGTTCTCAGACTTGGAAAATGTCAGAATTCAAGTCAATCGAAGGACTTTGTAGGTAACTAGAAGCTGTAGGGTTAGTTAATACATGTTGATGGTAGGTTTAGGGTTAGTTAATACATGTTGATGGTAGGGTTATGGTTAGTTAGGATCTCCTGAACCTGGTGAAAGACACACTTTCCATTCACTCAGCAGGATGGACGGCAGCTGTCAGGGCATTAAAGTCACACAAACCCCACCAGAAAAGTGTCTATTTGTGTCCCTGCTGCCCCCTGATGATGAGATCCTGCTGCTCTGCCTTTTATTCTATGATGACGTAAAACGAAGGCTGTCAGCAGCGTTTTCTCCAAACTGGGACGTTTCTAATGAGCTCTCTGCATCTATGTGTCTGTAAATGTTCACACTGGGGCACATGACGGAGACGCAAAGCAAATAAACATCTTTAAATCTGCTTAGAAATGACTCAAAAGGAGAGTTAATGAGCTTCACATGTCTGGGTTCAATCAAACTGTCTCTTCATTCAGTCTCAGTTCAACAATCTGACAAAATGTGAAAAACCGACAGAGAGAAGCATCTTTGAAGGCTCCACATCCATCGGCTGGAATGAAGGTTCTAGACTGGTCTCCCCAAAGTCCTGACTGGAACCATCCAGAACCTGTGGACTGATGAAGGAACAAGTCTGAATCACAAAGACGACAAGTTTAGTCGAACTGCAGCGGTTCTGTCCAGAGGAGTCAGAGATGGACCAGAAGCTGGTGGACGGAACCAGAAGAACCCGACTGAGGAGAACATGGACGTTGAACCAGATATGAACATTTCTGTCTGTATATTTATGATCCAACAGATTCTGTCATGTTTCCAGAAGACCTTTAATAAATCTATGAAAGAACCAGAACACAGGATTGTTCTAGTGACAAAGATTCATGTTTCAGTGGTTCAGAGTTGTAGGAGTCACTGGAAACTACAGACTGACATGATGAACATGAAACCTTTGTCCACGACTGTACATAAAGAGATGATATCTGCCTCCGAACTGACAGGACGGTGAAACATGTCGCTCCACCAGATCTGTTACATCATGACATGTTCTTCTTCATGTCACTGATACAGTCCCACCACAATCCGTCTATTCTCTCGACGTGTGAAACGTTTGGTGTCGGTTTCTGATCCGGAGTCTTCAGGGCAGCGTTTGAAACTTTGCCCCCTTTTGTGCTCTGAAACGGGGTTAAGAGACTTATGGTCTTATTGTAAGTGGAGAGATCAGCGCGATACAGTGGAAAAGTACAGTGAACTGGGTCTCAGGGCGAAGGTTGGTGGAAAACAGGAACCTGACACCTGAGGCCTGGATGTCTGATGTCTCAGAATGGAAAGGTGTGAAAAAGTGAAGCTGAACATGAACCAAACTGCATTTAAGCCTCAAACCCACCCAGTGACTGTTTGTTCTCCTGCAGGTCTTCCTTACGGCTGGGAGGAGGCCTACACCGCCGCCGGAGTCAGATACTACATCAAGTAAGAAGAGTTTCCACGTAAACATGTTGTTCCCCAAATCAGAAGTTCAAATGAGACTGCTAAACTGTAATTATACTCAGAACCAAGAACTGGTCCATCAGAACACCTGGTTCTATACCTCCAGTACCTTTATCCACTGACCAGAGTTCTACCTTCAGACCGTGAATGTTCCAGAGGTCCAGGTCCTTCAAGTCCACAGAGGAGGGTCCAGATTGATCACTTTAATGGACTTTTCCCATCATTTCTGAGCCTCAGAACTTCATCAGTACAGCAGATAGACTATTTCTGTTTGAGTACTGAAACAAACAAACTAATAACACAAGGTGATATCAGGGACTTCTACAAATGTCGGTAGGTATACTTTTCAACTTTCTACAGGGGACCTATCCAGACAGTTACAGGCCCTTGAAGTACATGCAGATGGGTGCAAATGTCATGCTTTTAAAATTCCTATGACTGTTTCCATCATTTCTGAGCCTCAGAACTTCATCAGTACAGCAGATAGACACATGACATTTAGGAGGAAGAACACATCTGGGTTCTGCTAGAACCTGACACCGGATCAGTTCTACATCCATCCAAACTGCGGCAGTTTAACGTTGATGTTTTCTGTTGTGTTTCTTCAAAATGAGCCGTAATTGTCCAAAATACCTCCAACTCATCTGAACTGCCTCAAAAGCTTTCCAACATGACAAAGAAAATGTCCAAAAGAGTCCATGAGAGTACCTAAAGGGAATCCAGATGGCTTCAAAAACTAAAAACAAATGCTCACAAAACCCAAAAATGGTCCAAAAGGACTCATAGTTGATCTGATGTGAGTTCAAACTCGTCCTAAAGGAGGTAAAAATCCACCAAAACCATTTATAGAGTTGAAAATCCCCAAAAAACACACTGCTGAACAAAGTGTTCAACCATCCGGTGCAGACGGAGCAGGGCGGTTCTGGTTAGATTAGACCAGAAGCTCCTCCAGAACCAGGAGTCCGTTTGCTGACTAAGCTTCTTGTCTCCGTTCAGTCACGTGACCCAGACGACGTCGTGGAGTCTGCCGGAGACGAGCCTCCTGGTTCCGTCGCCGCCGCCGGAGGCCTCGGAGCCGGACGGAGAACGGGACGGCGAACAGGACCGCAGAACCAACCCGTCCATCGAGACCGAGATGTAGAGGCGGAGCCGTGATTCTGTGAACGCCAGCGCGATGCTTCTGGCTGTAACCTGGAGTTCATTAAACTTCCTGGTGATGTGTTCGTGCGTCCTGCGGCGCTGACGGAGGATTGATTCACCGACCTGGTTGACAGACGGTCGTATTTTGTGTGTTTCTGAGCCAACGGTTGAAATGTCCAAGAAACCATAAAGAAGATGTGAATGAATCTTGTTTCTCTGATGGTTTGTTGTTGTTGCTGGTTTGCTTCTCTTCTGATGTGACTCTGACGTTAAAGGCATCACAGCTGCTTCCAGGTTTTGTGTTTTCTGTTTCAAAGCTTTTTCTGTTTTGAACTTAGAAACCAAAAACAGAACCGATGGGACTTTTTGTAGTCGGACTACTTCTTTTCTTTTCTTTTCTTTTCTTTTCTTTTCTTTTCTTTTCTTTCAAAGCCCAAAAAAAAGACCCTAAATTTGAGCAAAAAATTCAAACCAGACCAACATCATCCTCCAGAAACCAAGAAAACTAAACTCAAGCAAATAAACGACAAAACAAACTCAGTTGTTCCAGTTTTGGAGAAAAATGAGAAAATCAAACCTAAAGAATGATCCGAAATCAGAGCAAAAAAAAAAAAGCGATAAACAAACAGCATTTGATTTTTGGGGAAAAAGGATCAAATTAAAAAAAACATCAGAAGAAAGATTGACCAAAAACAGGGAATCTGAAGACGATAAAAATGTTCCAAAACTGACATAAATAAATAAAGATAACCGAATAGAAAAACGAGGAAACCGAACCTGAAAAAAGTTCTGAAACTGGAACAAAAAAGCTGAATGTAAAAACCACGCCTGTGTTTTTGGGTTTCTGTTTGTTCGTCTGGTTTTAAGTTTGGAAACAGAAACTACAAATGAAACGTGTTTAAATGTTTATTTTTCTAAATCCACAAACCAGAAATGGACTGAATGACGTTGCTGTGTTTGATTCTGACTCCTCGAATGTGTTTTTTCCGTTCTTGGTTTTAACACGAGGGACAGAAAGCGTTTGTTCTGGTTTTGAGTTGAACCGAGTTCTGGACCATCCAGACCTTCAGCCCTGAGCGTCGTCTGCAGCTACTTCTACGCTGTTCAAGTGTTTTCTCACTGAAACTTTACCTTGTGATGGACAATCGTCCTTCTGAGGTCACTTGTGTTGTTGTTAATCCACTCTGGACGTCTTCGTGTGATGAACTCTGAGAGGACCAAGGTTCTTCTGCTGTACAGCTTTTATTCGTCTGCAGCTGAACTTCAGTCTTTAAATCTCACCGCCGGCAGCCGGACTGTTTTCATTCCCAGCGACAGGAAGGTTCTCTCCGGCCGAAGCTATTCTGAGAAGATTCCTGCCTCCGATTGTTCTTGGAGGCCTCCGTGGAGCCTGAAGCTCAGTCTGAACAAACAGAAGTTGTTCCTCCAGCAGCAGCTCAGTCGGACCCAACAGGAGACAACGAGGTGAGAAAGAGGACGGAGCAGCTTCACGCCTCGGTTCACGAGAACACGTGGACTCAGAACCAACCGTGAAACAAGAATCCAAACTAAAAACACACATGAAAAGAAAACCCAACAAAAGCTTTCAAACAAATTTAAATGTCCAAGAAAAACAAGTAAACCAAACCCAAGAAACTTGTAGAACTGGAGCGATGGAACCAAACCCAAACTCCCATTTTGGAGAAAAATGACAGAAAAATAACAAAAACAAATAAAAACTTTAAAATTGGAAACTGTCTGAAACAAACTCAAAAAATGGTCCAACAAGCAAAAACAGGAAACCCCAGAAACGCTCCAACACTGGAGCGAAAAAGCAAAACAGAACAACAAGAAAACCAAACCCGGTCGACGGCCCCAGAACCGCAGCCAAGAACAAGACAATAAACCTCAAAGAACGCTTTCAAATCAGAGTAAAAACAGCATAAAAAATCTGAAAAATGCTCCAAAGTCAGGCCAAAAAATGAGAAAACCAAACTCAAAAACTTACCAAACCAAAACCAAACCCC